CCCCCCCCCCCCCCCAACCCAGCTGGGGGCTGGGATAAAACCCTGCTTCTCAAACTTGCAGGCACCAGCAGTCTAGCTGAGAGTCAGGACACAGCACAAATTCTCCACCCCTCCTCCACCGCACCCCGGGACAAACAGCACAAACTCACTCTCCACTTCCACCTCACCCCCAGTGCCACTCTCTCCCCCTTAATTCTCCCCCCCTTCCCAGCCCAGGAGGCTTGAGGAAAGTGCTGGGTTTCTGCCTCTCTCTCCTCACATAGATGGGATTCTCCCTCCTTCTTTCCTCCTCCCCCCCAAACTCTTCTACTCTACAGCTCTCCCCCTAGCCATTTATTCCCTCATCTTCCCTCTTTACCTGCTCTCGTAGCTCCTCTGATTGATACGGGCAGGTCTGTTTGAAGATGCTGGTCAGCGAGATGCCCCTGACAGTCACCTGAGCTCCCTGCCTATGCCGGAGCTCTGAGCCTGTGCACAGGGCTCATTAAAGGACTGTGTGGTCATGCAGTTTAAGAGAACTTAGTTACTGACCTAACTGCCTCTCAGTTCCTTCTTACTGCCAATGACGACTATTGGAACTTTGGCTCTTTTGCATTGGAAGTGCCATCCATCCCTAGTTTAGTTTAACAATAGTTAATAACAGTTAGTGTTGTAGTGACTGGAGTGAAGGGGAGGTTCCCTTTTCCACCCGTGTTCCTTCTGAAGGGGAGGTTCCCTTTTCCACTCGTGTTCCTTCTGGTACCTGGGACATGACAGAGCTCCAGGGATTCAAGCCCTGTAACTCTTGCCAGATGTCTATACCATTGAGCGACCCCCATGATTCCTATCTTCAGTGCCTAGGGTAAGCTCACTAAGCAGATAAGTGTAAGATCTGCAAGGCCTTCAAACCTTGGACTAGAAAGGAGTGGGACTTTTGTCTCAAGCAGCTTCTAATGAAGTCCACCTTGTGCAGTCTGAATGCTTCAGTGTGTAGCACACTACCTTTGATTCTGTGCCCAGCACCGAAAAAGGACTCCTGGCACAGTCTGTCTCATAAGACCCCCCGGCACCAGTTCTACTTTCCAGCCTCGCCTTCAAAGGTGGCCACACCCTCTTCCTTTGTATCAGTGGCCAAAGACAGGTTCCTGCTCCCCATCAAACTTCATGGGGAAAGCTGGCCATGTTTGGCACTCTCGCTCAAGCCTCCATCTCCTGTCGCTTGGAATCCTGGCACCACTCAGCTGAGCACCGTTGGTCTGACTCACAGCTCGCCCTTTCAAAGCCGTTCCCACTTGAGCCTCCATGGCGAGCAGATCTTGGTGAGGCTTGAAGTTGTCTCGCTCCAGCCATTCCCATACCGTCCAGCATCAAAGATGCTCTTGGCACTGCAGTTGGGCATCTCAGTCGTCTCAGCACCGATGTCAGAAGCATGGATCTTCCTTGGAATGTGCAGCAGCCCCTCTTTGTCACTACTTCATGTTGCAGGGGAGCCTGCCTTGGCACCAGCCTCCATCTTGGCACCAATCTGGGCACAACTCTCCTTGCTGGTCCAGCTCTTCATGTTGGTCTTGTTCCCACCATCGGTCATGCTCCCAACAAAGGTCACCACCGTGCAGCCTGTAGGTGCCATATACAGTGTCTTCCCACACGTGGTATTCCTATAGTCATTCGCCTTGATGGCCATGAAGCTCAGCACCAACTGCCCCCTCAGTGGTGATTGGTTCAATGCTGTCTTGGCCATCTCACTTGGGTTTGCCAGCCTCTATTCTGAGGGAACCCATGGTGGCTTTGGATAGATCAATATGGGTGGGTCCTTGTCCCTACAGGGTCCAAGCTGGAACCCAGGAGCCATCGCAGTGGCAATTTTGAACATGGTGGGTGTTCCATCAGGCTAGGGCACATAGTTGATGGGGGCTCAGTGGGCAATATTGAGATTCCAGGTCCTGGAGGCCACCGTCATTCGGCCAGCACCTCCAGCCACACCACCACCTGAGACCCAGCCCAGTCCAACCCTGGAACCCCAGGACCAACCTGAGGATGGCCAAGACATCGGCCCCTCCAGTGGCGTCTTTGTTCTCTTCGCTCCATCACAGGCACACCTGCCCTAGACTACAGGACCTGCTCTGCAGGGTAATCCTCAGCCTTAACCTCTAGGTAGAGGAGGTCCTGGAATAGAATGATCCAATAGTCAACATTCTAGCCCCTGAAGGACTGTCCAGGCTGATACTTCTCCTCAGTAAGACCATCCTGTCCATGGCCGAACCTTTATGGCAAACCCCTGCCTCTGTTCCACCAACAGTGAAGGGGGCTGAGAGAAAATACTTTGTCCCAGTCAGGAGTTTAAATATTTGTTTACACTACCTTCCCCCTCCCCCTTGTTCCCTGGTAGTGGAGGCGGTAAACACGAGAGTGCCAAGGTCACCAGGCCCTCGCGCTTAAGTCGAAGGACACCAAACACCTCGACTTTCTCAGCCAGAAGATCCATCTACTTGCTGGTGGATGGGGAGGAGGATTCTGCTACTCCAGATAGTGAATCAATAGGCTATCCTGAGCTGCTGTTATAACTCCTGGGACTCTTTGATTAAATCCAAGGACTTCGTGCCTTAGGAGACTTGGGACAAGTTCACTGCCTTGGTCCAGGATGCAAGGCCGTTTCTCATGTCTGTCTGGACACCAGGGACTTGGAGGCACGAGTCATCTCAAGCATAATCATGTGCTGGGCCACTTAGCTCCAGCCATCAGGCCTTCTCTCTGACATTCAGCAAACTCTGCAGAACCTCTCCTTTGACGAAGAACCCTTTGAGTAGATTAACACCTAAGACTATTGGGTTCTCTGGATGGTGAAAACTGGTAACTCCATTCCATTCCATTTGCTCACTCTCCCCCCCCCTCCCAGTCCCCCACTTGTCCCTCTTCAGGGACCCCTCTCATGAGCATGGAGATGCGCAAGATCCTGGACCTTGGGGCAGTGAAGTAGGTGCCAGCAGACTTCAGGAGCAGGGATTTTTATTCCCATTACTTTCTTGTTCCGAAGGCAAAGGGGGAGGGAGGTCTCCAGCTCATCCTGGGCTTTGGAGAGTTCAATAGGTTTGTAGATGCTTACAAGTTTCATCTGGTCTCCCTGTGTCCGGAAGATTGGTACACCGCCCTCGACTTAAAGGATGCTTACTTCCGTGTAACAATCAAACCAACTCATAGATGCTACCTCTGTTTTTCCTAGTGGGCAAACAGCGCTTTCAGTTTACTGCCCTCCCCTTTGGCTTGCTGCAACACCGTGGGTATTCACCAATTGTATTACTGTGGTAGCAGCCTTCTTCAGGTGCTGTAGTATTCAAATATACCCTTACCTGGATGACTGGCTCTTGCCGGGCCACTCTCATCAGGAGGTAAAAGCTCATGTCGCCTTACTCGGGACACTCTGCTCAGATTAGGCTTGCTCTTAAAACCCAACAAGACCAAGGCTCAGGTGTTTCTGCCAGACCAATGGGTTGGGGCGCTGACTCAGTTTGCCAACTTCCCAGTGACCATGGCCCAGACATGCCTCAGACTCATGTGCCACATAGCAGTATCTACATACATAGTCCAGTTTGCAAGGCTCTGTGTCTGTCCCTGCCCGTTTTGGCTGGCATTCATGTATTGGCTGGGGCATGACATGCTGGTCACAGTTCCCCATCACGTGATCTTCATCCTTTGCTGGTGGTTGGATCCTCGTTCGGTGATGGCTGATGTACAGTTTCTCACCCTGCGATCCACGCTCTTACTTACCATAGGCTTGTCCGCTTTGGGTTTAGGAGTTCACCTTGGAGACCTCATTCGGCATCCACATCACCTACATGGTGAACAATAGCTCCACGTCATCCTTGCCGAACTCAGGGCACTTATTTGGGGCAGTGGCGGATCGTACGACAGGATTACCTATCTCTTCGCAAAGCGTCTCGTCTTTGATTGCTGCATGTATCGTGTGTATTATGATCTGGCTAAAGTCTGTACACCATTTCTCACAGTGCACTCTACACAAGCGCAGGCTTCTTCAGCAGCTTTCTTGGCTCAAGTGCCCCTCCAGGAAATCTGCAGAGCCGTCACTTGGTCCTCAGTGCATGCCTTCACGTCGCACTATGCATTGTGCAAGGATCACGACAGGATGCGGCCTATAGCTCCATGAGCTTTGAGTCAGCCCCACTCTGATTCCAACCCCTCTTCCTGGGTAAGGCTTGTGACTCACCTCAATTGGAATACAAGTGAGCAAGCACTTGAAGAAAAATGGTTACCCACCTTTGTAATTGTTCTTTGATTTATGTTGCTCATATCTGTTCCATACCCACCCTCCTTCCCGTTTATCGGAGTAGCCAGCAAGAAGGAACTGAGGGGCTCTTGGGTCAGCAGGGTGTTGCATTAGTGCCACTCCAGGGGGCCCCACAGCAAACCCTACAGATAGCGGCAAAAGTAAACCTTACTGGTTTACTGCGTACATCTTAATTGGAATAGGTCTGAGCAACACATCTTGAAGAATAAGTTACACGAGTAACCATTTTTTTCATACTGGAATTCTGAGCATCTACCAGCTTCCCAAACTGTTGAAAAAGTAGTCATGTACTGTCTGCAGCTTCATCTTTAGGTTATGCCAAATCCCTACTGTTCACTAACCTGTTCAGCATGATTCTGTTTGGCTGTTAGTCTCCAATTTTTTTACTCCTACAATAATCAGACTAGGGATGTGTTAACTGGTACCCAGGAACAGCCCTCTCACATACCAGCAGCCCACTGTGGGCAAAAGGCTGCTGCAGCCCCACAGGGGTCAAGAGCTAGCTCCCACATGAGGTGGGCTGAGTGCTGAAGCCCACCCCTCTGCACCTGAGGCTGGCTCCTGCTTCCAGCAGTCCCAAGTGTGAGGGAGCCCAGCTTCTGCTACCTGCGCTTGGGGCTGCCGGCAGCCCCAAGCACAGAGGGGTGGGAGGGAAGGGGCAGCGGCAACCCAAAGCATGGGGGGATAGCAACAGCTCCCCCCTGTGCTTGGGGCTGCTAGCGGATCCCACTTAATCGGTTAACCAGTTAAACCTAGGATTTAACTGATTAACTGATTATAACCAGGATTTTATATCTCTGTATCAGCTCTGTCCTTTGCAGTCTATAATTTCATGATGAGATACCCAAGTTAACAACTTTATTCTCTTGACTAGTAGAATCAAACCGACACACATGAATACTGGGTCTGTTAAGTGAGGCATAATATTCTGCAAGCTTTTCTGGAATCAGACGCTGAAAAATAGTTCCACTTTTCTCCCACCCCAGTCTTTCTGTGTCAATAAATGGGTATTGCACAACTGCACAAAAATTTCCCAAGGCCTCTCCTTCAAGTAAAAATGACTTAAAATAACATTAGTCCATTTAGCCTTGAAGTAGATGTTTTCAGTAAAGAAGTTTAGTGCAGGAGCTCGCTGATGTTCCTTCTTCACAAATAACTTTTCACTTACCTGACAAAACCTGCCTTGTCGTCACAAAATGTTGCCTCTTGAGGGAGTATGTGTTTTGCCGTTCGTTCTAGACTTTTGGCTAAATGCATCCATAACAAAACGTATGGTATTACTTTCTGAAATAACATGCTTTTGCTCCTTAAGTGTTGTCCCTTATTGATTATTTAAATTCTTCCATGTATGCCCGTGTCCTGGAATGTACCTTGCAGGAATGGTGTCTTCAACCTGTATAAGTTTAACTAGCATAAATAAAGCACTTACAATTAAGCCTCTCTTAGAAAGCAAAAATTCAGACAAATATAGAACAGTTTCACTCATGGAACTTTGTTGATTTATCTTCTGACAGAGTAGCACTTTTGCTCCCATTAACATACACTTGTATTCTTGTTATGAAAAATAATTTCCGCTATTCTATATAATTATCTCTGACACCATGAGGAATCTGTATGATTTAGATAGCTTTCATGCTTCTAGAGGTATGTACATTATTTACCAATAAAGACCTAATACAGGCATCTTTCTTCTTGGTTTAGGTAAGACCATTGCAATTGGAAAAGTTCTGAAGCTGGTTCCGGAGAAAGACTAAGTACTTTTCTCGATGACCCTGCACAATACTGTGAGGAAAATTGACTCTGCAAAAGCCTACTTCACACCGCCTTCTTATTTTCTGCCCATTGATAACTTCTCCCCATATTTTGCAAAGACAAATTTCACAGCAAAGGTCCACATTGTCAGCTTTCTCATATTGAGAGCTCTGCTATGCCACTGTTGAATTTCCCAAAAAGGGTTTTTTTCTCCCAAATTTGCTTGCAAAGATTTGGCAATAGCTTTGTAAGTGATGTGGACATAATTGCCTATAATTATGAAAATCTAAAGGATTTTTAATGTTTAATTTCCCCTGGCATATTAAGACATCTTTTTTCCAGGCAAATCACTCAGCGTGTGAGTGTGCGTGCACATGTTACAAAGACAACTACCATGTTAATAAACAATTTGAAATCCTTTTGGTATTGGAATTGCTTTTGAATAATGTTTTTTATCCAGATGTTTCACTGTTGCATTAGCATTTTAACTTTCCAAGTTTCTAAATATTCAATTACTTGGAGTTTTCAAAACTCCTCACCACTGTTTCCTCTCCCCGCATTTTAAATGAGGCAATTAGACAATTGACAAAGTTTGTATAAAATGAATTTTTGCCCCATTCTGTTGGGTATTTTCATGCATTGTTTAAATTAAATACCTTTATGAAAGTATTGACACTATTTTATTAGCTTTCCATTGGTTTATATCTATAGCACATCTTGGTTGAATTAATTTCTTAGACACAGTAAGTTGGGTCGAACGATAGAACTCTATACTGTGTTGTTATAAAAAGTATGACATAATCAAATTCTTAACCTTCAGAAAATGCTAACAACCAGTAAATCAATGGAAGTTGCACAAACATGGTAATTGAGGCAATAATGTCTATAATGGTATTTATAAGTGATTTTTTTTTTCCTGAAAACTGGGCCAGTCGAATAGGTGCCAGTTCTGCAGGTTACTTAGTTCATTCTGTCATTAATTTAGAAGGCTGGATAATCCTTGCTTTTTTAAACATCTGTCTGAATTGAGTGAGACTATTTAAGACCCTACTTGCACATACTGAAATTTAGGAGGTGCAGAACAAAGTACAGTCTGCAAATTTTTGCGTATCAAACCAATTTAAGTTTGTGTAGACTGGTGAAGAGCTTTCTTAAGAGATTAAACCCATAACCAGTTTAAAATTAAACTTCCTTAGTACAGCTTGAAAGAGCTACATATTAAAACCATACCTAGTTGCAGGTAAAAGTGAATTATCTCCTGTTGCCATCCTGGTTCGAACAGTGAGAAAGAGGATGAATGGGAAATGTGAGACCTACAAAGTATTAATGAAAATCTCCATTACTAGATTAAAGGGTTAACTTCAGAGTTTCTTCAGAATACTTTTTCTTAAACTAAATATTTTGCAATTGTAAAATTAAATAGTGGTGAGCCCTTGCCTTCCCCGGAAGCTGACAGTCACATGACTGTTTCAGTTTACAGAACTCAGTTTTATTTATCCTTTTTTGTTTCTTTGTAATTGTGGAATTCCCATTCATTTCACTTAAGGCTACATTGTATGGACAGCGCAAGTAATTGTCCTTCAGTTTCATATGATTACACTTGTCGCTACCGTAATGCATGAAATTTAAATAAATTTTATTAAGTCTGCAAATCTCTGGGCTTTTTATTTTTCTGGGAAAATCTGAGAGCTTTAGATAAAACATAAACAAACATCTTTTTTTCCCCAACTAAATGAACACAAGCAAAGCACAGGCACTGGATCTTAAACCATTATACAAATTAGTCAAGGAAATTCTTGCAAAGCTCTTTGTTATTTGGGATTGACTAAATATTCTCTAGTTCATAAAATTGGCTCCCAAAATGTTTGCTTTAGATATTTTCTCTGTTAAAACTGCCTTTGGGGAGTGACACTTCAGAAAAGACTTACTGTAAAGATATGCTTTAAAAAAGCATTGAAATGCAGCTAAAGCACTAAATACTTAAATTATCACTTTTGAGGAAATTTACAGAGAGGATTTAAATTGATTGATTTGATCATGGATTGAAAACAAATTCATCACTGAAACATGAAAATCAACTGATGGATGGAAATTTAACAGATTCATGGAACTGTGAAGGATTTCTGTGATATATTCCATCATAAATCTTGTACATTTGAATCCTATTTACATAAATGCAATTAAAACTGCCTTGTATGTTAAGGGAAACTGAATTAAGATTGAAGTGCATTAACAATATGTTGAATCATAGGTTGTAGCTCTTGTTAAAGCAATACAAATTTCTGATAAGGTTTGTAAGGTGTTCAGTTGGAATCTTATACAGCCTTTAAGCATATTAACTGCAAAATGCAAAGCGAAAGTACAGGGCAATTGGCTTCATTTTTAGGTATAAGAGCTAAATATATCTATACCTTTATCCTTTGACCATTGATTTTTTTTTAATTTTACTCAAATTGCATACATTTAATGAACATTTAAATCTTCATACCACATTACTGTTGTTAGTGCAGTTTTACTAGAATTGATGGGCTAAATTTAGATCATTAAGGAAAAAGGAATGGTGCAGCTGCTTTGTTTTGAAATAAGTACTACTTGCTAATAAGTTCCTCAGTGTAATAAACTTTTTTAAACAGTTATTTTGAATTCTTATTTCTTTTTCTCAAAACATGTAGCTTACTACTTTGAAGATGAAAGAAATAAAGGATTTATCCAGCCATAAGAGGAAAAGATAATGTGAACTAAGACATAAAGTTGAACTGTGTGTGTAAAAATGAGTTAATTTATCAGCAGATAAAAATACTATACAGACCTTACATTAAGATCTTTTGTTCTTGAACTTGGAAGCCTTGATATATGTAATGATTAAATGCAAAAAAAATCTTTTCATATAGTAGCAGAGTCCTGATTATTCTGTAATATGAAAAATGACAGTTCATTATTTCTTTCTAGTTAGGAAACAAACATCTCATAAAATAGTGCCATAGGCATGCTAATCATCCACCTAATATAGAGTATACAATATTCTTTTGATGATATTTGCAGATAGGCAGAAACTGTTAAACATTTGCTGACACCGGTTTCCTGATGTACACTTATACTAATTGATTTAGTGGTCCTAGCCATCTTCTGGGGATAGTTATTTGGAAAACAAGGTGCTTTATGGAGTTTATTCCACAAGGATTTTTGCTGGTGAATGGCTTGAGGCTACTCTACAGATTTTTTTCCCCCAATGGTATAAGATGCCCTGTGGAGGTTGCTTAATGAATAATCTCTGCTACCAACTCACTAAATATTATGGCCATTTTGAGAAATGTAGTCTTTGTAAGAGGGCTAGATATGCTATCCGCCATAAGTTTGAATAAATGTTGTGTCTTGCCTGTTTTGTGAGAGTAATGCAGACTGTTCGGATGACCACTGCCTGCCTACAGAGTGCTTGTAGTTCTGTTCCCTGGGTAACATAATTCCACAGAATAGGGGGTGGAACAGAAAACCTTCCACATCCACCACTACGCCTCTTCTAGATATTCGTTCTTCCAAATGTTCTGGTTGGTTCATTGAGTTGCACTGAATTACTTACACGTGTTGACTGCTGTAGTAGAATCTGAATCTGTTCTCCAAAGTGTCATCTAGAGAAAAAACTCTGACTTTAACATGGTGTATAAAGACCTGAAATAATTTTCCCAGCATACTTTAATATTATATAAATTCAGATCTTGCTTGTACTGCTTGTTTAGAGAAAACTATGGACTACTCCAGAAATAATAAATTCATTATTAGCAGTTCCAGTAATGATGGCGTACTATTA